CCCCACCTCACCCTTGTGTTGCAGCAGCCTCGTGGAGCGGCTGCTGAGTGACAGGCTGTCCACTTGTCCCTGGCAGTGGCAGGCTGTGCCCTGTGGACACCTGTCCCGGCAAAACATAGGACTCGCCTTGTAGAAACAGCTCAGCCTCATGACTGCCTAAACTGAAGGAAGAAAGTGGGAGAGAGCCCAGTTTCCCTTTCTCTGGGAACATACTCAGAGCTTTCTGGAAAAAGTGTGCCTCCTGCCTTGGGGACAGGCCACCTCACTACCTCTTGCTTGGCATGAATGAACTGCTGGCCTCCCCCCAAGTCTCAGGGGAAGGACAACACCCCTTCCACATCGTCCTGCTTTTGCCTCCCCGTCCTCCCAACAGATGGTGTGTGATTAGTGGAACCAGCAGCCTCAGGGTCATGCACACTGCACTAGACATAGGTCCCTCCATGCCGCCCAGAGACCCCAACTTACCACCCTCCAAAGGGTGCTGTCAGCAAGATGCCAGGTCTGGAGGCAATGAGGGGCTGTGCGTGAGCCAGGTCACCAGACCCGATGACTTCCATAGTGCTGGGCCCACTGAGGCTGCCAGTGAAGCTGGGGAAGAGGGAGCTCAGCTGGCCGAGTGGGCGATGGGACAGCTCTCTGGAAAAGGGCACAACCACGTTCCCCGGGCCTTCTGGCCCAGCTCCCTTACTTTGGATCAAGAGGCCATCCCCCCTTCCCACCCTCCCTGTCTTTAGCAAGCAGGTTTCACTGCTTTATTAACTAGGACAGGTCAGAAGTGAGTTCTTTTCACTACTTAAGGAATAAACCCAAGAGCTTTCCAGAGCCCAGCTCCTGCCGCCCTGGGAACGTCTATGTGATTACTGTACCGATACATAAGCTTTAGACGGAGTTATGAGCGTTACTCATTACTACTGAGGCCGCTGCTGCGTGGCCAACAGTTGTACTGGATATGCCACCTGCTGCCCTGGTTCTGCTGCATGTTGAATAAAAACATTTTTATCCAATGTGAAATTCCTAACATACACAAGACTCACCCTGGTGGGGAGGCATCCCCCTTTAACTCTAAACAGATTATGCTAGAACTCCGAGAAGGCAGGGCCCTGGGCACTGGCTCAGCAGTCACAGACCGTGTAGGCAGGCCCCAGCCCTGGGCCTCGCTGTTCACACTGGGCATCAGCTGGGACAGTGCTATGACACGAGGACCCTGTTGGTGCCTGTCCCTTTCTCTTGTGGGAGAAATAACCAGTTATTGGGAACCAGCAGTTAGTGAAATGGCTGTCGCTGGACTCTCAGGTAGGTGACTGCAGTTCGCGTCCCGGACCTGGTGGCTTAAAGCTCACTTAAAGCTTGTGCGTCTGTGCCCAAGATCCCAAGAGGAGAATGGAGGAGAAGGGACTGTGGTGTGGCCATCCCCCCTGGGGGGTGATTTCTCGCTTTCTGCCTCTATGTCTCTGTCTGGCAAGCGCACGCGCCCTTATAGCGAAAACCTCTCCAAAAAAAAAACCCAGTTATTAACAGTGGTGCATGGATTTCAGAAGCACAAGTAACCATTGAGGGCTCCTATCCAGGTTCCCGATATGGGCAGGACCCTAAGCTCACGGCTCACTGGAGGACAGCTGTGTCAGGGAGACCGGATGGCTCCACGTCAGGGAAAATAAAGCGGGCACGCTCTCCAGCTTTAGCACCTCAGGTTCAGAAGAGACAGGTAAAATTTCCTAGCTGAAAGAACCTGCCTTGTATTTGCTAAAGAGAACTTTTATTCTTTTACAAGTCTATATACACTGCCATACAGAGATGCCGCACTGGAGCAGAGCTCAGGAACCTTCCACGGAGCCTTCTCTCAGAATGGCCCGAGCAAGGTTTCGGGCCAGAGCAAGTCTCAGCATTTCCACCTTGGTGGTCTCAATGTCGTCATCCTGAAAAGCAGAGGGCCAGCATGAGGCCTCCTGTAAACTCCCAGTGCCCTGCTTAACCCAAGGTAGGCATGCTCAGCTGTCCCTTCTAGCAAGTTCTCAATATAAAAGCATGTAAAAGGCCATGCTGCAACTTACCAGAAATTTTTTAAATGTAGGGACCAGAATCCCCCATTTCCTTCTGAAATAGGTGGTAAGGTTATGGGTAAGCCATAACTAAGAGGCAGTGGAGTTCATAAGGGGCCAGAGTTTCAAGAAAGGAAGCACGGGACAGGAAACAACCATCAACCCGGAAGCCAGAACGACCTGGAGCTGCTGGGCGCTGGGCTCTCCACACGTGCGCCTTCCTGAGGTCAGGTCCTCCAGACACCGCATCAGCTCGTACGTCTGCTCTACTGAGAAAATCACCTAGGAAGAGAAGCTGCATCGCTCACCTGCTCCCCAGCCAAGGCCTGTGCTGGTCTGGCCACAGGCCCAAGTTCAGAGACGCACCCTCGCGTGGCCCTCGGAGGAGGGTGTTTTATACATGCCCCGAAGGACAGAGCTGCTTCCTGTTCTCACTTGTAGCCTCGTCAGAGCCCTGGGCCTAGTGCCCTTGGTGAACAGAGGCCTCGTTTTTTTTTTTTAAGAGAGATTTTTGTTATAGGGCACATGCGCTCACTGGGAAACAAAGTGAGAAATCACCCCTAAGGGGGAATGGCCACACCTCAATCCCTTCTCCATTCTCTGTGGGATTTTGGGCACACATGGCTGGCATGTTTTAAGCCACCAGGTCTGGGACTTGGGCTGTGGTCAACTATGAGGGAATCCAGTGATGTAACCTTTACGCCATCTGCTGGTCCCAAGGCCTCATTTCAAAGCAGTAAATCTCGGGCGAGTACTGGATTTCAGGAGCAAGTGCTGTGGCAGACGTGCGCATGCGTCTCTGGAACCACACAATCAGGGACTACGGAAGAGGGAGATCACAAGGACTCGCCCTTCACCTGTTTCTGCTCCAGAAGGGGCAGAGCATCCGTCAGCAGCGTCATCCAGAAAGAACGGGGGGCAATCTGAGACGTCATCAGGGACAGGAGCAGAGAAGCAGCATCGATGAAACGCTTGTCCCCGTATAAGCGGTGGAACTCACGGTACTTTCCTAATGGAGGAAACAGCCCAAGGTCACCTTCACTCTGAACCGGCCCCCAGGTGGCACCTAAGGAAGAGCTGGCTCTGTGATGTAGCAGTTACTTGCTGCTTGAGAGAAGCCGGACCCATGTGGCGACAGCGGTCTGGATCACCCCTGCCCAGACAGTCTAGACATTAGCGCACAAATGCCCAAGAGCCGGGGCACCGGAGGGTGAAGGAAAGGGGCGACAGGACCCAGCCCTGTGGAAGTGCTCCTCCCTCGCTCCCTGGTGCACAAGTGCATGCTCCACTGAATAATGAAACGGAACGAGCTCCCAGCCCTAAACAAGAGAGACCCCACACCAGCCACTCCACAGAGCAGGGAGGGAAGATTTTTCTAGCTATCCGGACATCTCACAGATCAATGAGATGCAGACCAAGAGGGTTCAAAACACAGGCCTTGACTGGGCTCCCAGGAGCCAATTCTGGGAAACATGAGCACTGAAGTCCACACCGACGACTCATGCACTATGACAGATGGGACTGAAATACTCCTTAAGCCCACGCTGACAGAACCAAAGACTGGCTCTGACGCGGCAGGCATGCACTGCCAGGAGACGCCAGGTGACACGCCACCAGTCTGAACCCCAGCCTGCTCAGCCTGAAACACGCCAGGCACACACTTGAGTGCCAGGGATCCGATGGGCTGGAGGAAGGAACTGGCATGACCAGATTCTGGGGAGGGTGCTCACCCCCCCGCACACACGTGCACACGTACACACCACCCTATGAGAGAAGGAAGATCATCTGTGGGAGGCAGAGTTGCCATGGTGCTTAGGGGCTGCACACGCGTGACTGTGTGCTCAAAATTCCGAGTGGAGATGGGACTGCGGCATGACCATACCCCCGGGGGTGATTTCTCACTTTCCCTGTCTAGTCTTCCTCTCTCAAGGGAGTGCTCCTGTCCTATGGCAAAAAAATCTTAAAAAAAATAAATAAAAATTATAGTCTGGGTCGGCCTGGTATGGTGGTTAAAGTAGTCGGATCCCACGGAACCGACCGTGCAGTTTGAGTCGCAGACACACCAGCCTGAGAAGCATTCAACAGGCATGTATGTGTGCGTGTCGAAAATCCCAAGGTGGGAAAATGGAGAAGGAACTACAGAATGATACTCCCCACGGGGATGCTTGCTCCTCTTCCCTCTCTCTCTAGTGGGTACATGTGCCCTCTGGCAAAAACTAAATAAACAAACAAACATGCAGTTTGAACAAAGGGTTCTACACGGTTATCGGGAAGGAAACACCTGGGGAGAGGTGGAAAGGACCCCTCCGGTCTCCACAGGCCTACTTGTGCCGAAGGTCAGGGCAGATCCCAGGGAGACTCACCCAGGAATGTGAGCCGATCACTGAGCATCATGGCGGGCCCCAGGTTGTCGATGAGATCCAAATCCGAAAAGCAGCCCCTCTCACAGTAATCCCTGAGGAACCTGCAGGCCGGCGCAGATGAGAGCAGCAGTCTGGGCCCACGTCCCCAGCCCTCCAACCTCCCACACACCAGCCGAGCCCACCTGTCCGACACCAGAGTGGCGAAGGCGGCATCTTTGGCCCGGATGCTCCAGGACAGGGCCGAGCCCAGGCGATTGTTGCGAACAGCTTTCATGGCTAAGATCTTACAGATGCTGCGAACTTTGCAGGGAAGAGGAGCGGTGAAGAGGAGAGGGCCCATAAATCACCCCGCTGCTGAGCCCTGCAAGTTACTGCCTCACTACACCCAGTGGCTCCGTGGGCTCCCAGCACAGCTGGGTCCACAGAGCTGGAGCAGCAGTCCAGCCCTCAGGGCCTGTAAATGGTGCCTGGCCCTGCCAACAGGAATGCACTGCGGGACTGGTGATACTGGTGGGCGTGACTTCAGAGGTGACAAGAAGACTCCCCATGCATCAGCTCCTCTGTTACCTGTTCAGTGCCTAAACCCTTACTTCCTCTGCGTCTTAAACACCACCTACTCAGAGACAGACGGGCAAATGCCTCTGGGAGGGGCGAGAACTAAGGTTATTAGCTCAACAGTGAAGGCGAAAAGGGGACAGCTGCTCAGACCTGTGCCTCTCCCTGTGCACGCCCTGAGCCATCTGCTGGGGAAGGGACCGGACGTGGCTACGCGGAGTAAGAACGGCGCAGATGTGGGTCAGGGCCTTTCCGACAGGGCAATGGCCTCAACCGCTAGGACCCACGGGCACCCCAGCTCTCGTGCCTCCTCCACATACGGCGTCATCTCTGCCTCTGGCCATCCCTGCCCTGCTCTCCAGGGTGGCTGGTGAGGAGGCAGCTGCCCTGAGAAAAGCAGATCCCCAAGGGTTCCTGCTCCGGGTCCCCAGCGTGAGGCTGGGAGCTGCACCCTCACCTTGCTCCGTCATCTGCCGCTGTTCACAGATCCGCAGCACCTTAAGGGCCTTCTGCTCTGTGTTGAGAGGGATCCGCTCAATATGCAGCTCCAGGGACACTCGGCCCAACTCAGGGCAGTAGTCGAAGTAGTCCACCCCCAGCTGCCACAGGCTGCAGGGGTCCGAAGACAGGCGTGAGGGACTGGCGAGCCAGGTGCTGCCCTGGGCTTGGGGGACTGGCGCCAGAGGCTGCTCCTCCCCTCGCCCTTCTGCAGCCTTCGGCAGCTCCAAGGATACCACATGCTCAGGAGCACCCCACGCCCACGGGCTGTCCTACCTGTGATGGGCAAACAGTCCTGAGGCATATTCCAGCAGGAGGAATTCCCTCATGTTGGAACCAAAGCTGGAATGAAATCCAACACAGACCGGGACTCGGGGCCTGCTCCGTTCAGGGCCCTTTTCCCAGCCCAAGTTCCCTCCATGGCCTGGTGGTGAGGCCTGGTGCGCCTGGCCCACTTACTAGAGGTTATGCGACTGGAGGAGTCTGCAGTGATCCAGCAGGTCTGTCAAGTGGGCCACAAACCACCAGTTGCTCAGGGCAATGCTGCAGAGTCAGACACCAGGCAGGTAGGAAAGTCAGGGGGGCCGCGGCCCGTGAGGGTGCGGGCAGGAACCCGCACCCCTGTGCTGCGAAGTCCAAAGATGCCACGTGCTGGTGAGCACGAGGGACAAGGGAGCTCCTGCACGCTGCGGGCGGGAACGGAGGCCAGCACGCTACTGGGGCAGACGTACAGAGACACCTCAAAAACGAATGGGAATGTTTTCCCTGGCAACACATGGAAAGGAAGTGGGCTCACTATCTCAGAGACGCCTGCGTGTTCCCAGCAGCACTGTCTGCTAGCCAGGGCAGTCAACCCAGTCGCCCATCTGGGGGCACGGACGAGGAAGACACGGTGGGGCAGGCCCTGCAGCATGGTGGGTGAGCACTGTGCACTGGAGTCAGACCCCACATGGCCAACCCAGGTTCAAATCCTGGCCCTGACAACTTGAGAAACATGCTAGACATGTGTGTGCACACGCCTAGGCTCACGATGGGGTGGGGAAATGGCAGGAGAAAGGACTGCAGCGGCACGACCAGGGTCCATGGGAACGGAGGTGCTTCCTCTCCCCCATGAACGCACACAGCCTCTGGCCAAAAAAAAAGGTTGGAATATGTATACATCCATAATGGAATCCACTTAGCCTTAAAAAAGAAGGAAGGGTTGGGGCCGGTGGGTGGCGTGGTGGTTGGGGTGCTAGACACTCCCACATGGCTGACCGCGGTTCAAGTCCCAAACCTGGTGGTTTGTTTTCTCATTCACTTTCTCTCTCTCTCTCTGGTCAAATTAAAATAAATGAATGAATAAATTAAATAAGTCATTTAAAAAAAAGAAGGAAGGGCTGACATGGCAGCCAGATCCTACAGAGCTAACCGCATGGCTCGAAGCCTGGATTCAGTGACTTGCAAACAAGTTGGGCGTACATGGGTGGAAAAGGAGGGAGAGGCGGAGGAAAGGCCACTGCAGTGTAACCATTCCCCATGAGGGTGCTTTCTCCCTTTCTGGCAAATGGGTTAAGGTACTGGATCCCACATGACTGGCTGCACAGTTTGAATCCTGGACCAAGCAGATTAATAACCATGCCAGGTGCATGTACATGCCCAAAATCCCTAGAGAAGACTAGAGGAGGGACTGTGGTGTGGTCACCCCACTGGGGGCGATTTTTCACTTTCCCTCTCTCTGGTGAGTGACACACCCTACAAAAAAATACTGACAAAAAAAAAAAAAAGTTGTTGGGACCAGTACTTGGCGTAATGGCTATGTTGTTGGACTCCCATGTAGTCGACCACAGTTCGAGTCCCAGACCCACTGACTTAAACTCACGCCGGGCGTGTGTGCATGCCTTCCCAAGATCCTGAGAGGAGAATGGAGAAGGGATTGTGGCGTGGCCTTTCCCCCTTGGGGGGGTGATTTCTCGCTGTCTGTCTCTCTTTCTGGCAAGCACACGCACCCCATAGCAAAAACCTCTCAAAAAAAAAAAAAAGCAAACACTTTAAATACATAGAACTTTTTCCCAATCATAAAGCGAGGGAAAAAAAATGGGAGGCACGGATGGGTGAAGAGAAAGGGCTCCTCTGCCTCCCAGAGCTGCTGACCCAACTACTGGCTGATAGTTTGGCAGAACAGCCAGAGATGCGGCAGGAGGCTGTGGGGGGCCCCAGAGCTAAGGGAGCCAATGCACGCCCTGGCCTGCACAAACACTCCCAGGCAGAGAGGGGATGCCGCAGCCTCCCTGG